TATTTGGAGAAAAAAGTTTTTTTTTTAAAGATCACAAACAAACCCTAATAGATGTAGGTATGAGGGATAAAACATTTTCTTTTACACTTAGTTAACATAATGTCACATGACATTTTATCATTGGACAGTTTAAATAAAAAAAGTTTCGCAACAAATGATTTTTGGACAACACCGCATGTGTCAACAAGGGTGACAAAAATGGGTGTACAAATGACATAATTCATCACCAAATAGATTATGTACATTTCATCTTCGATAGTTGTAGTTGTAAATTTGTTAATTGATGGTTTAAGTTGTTTGCATTCCTCTTTGCATATGTTTGAAGGTGAGGCGGTCAAGTTTCAATCTGTTGTATTAACTATGGTGTGTTTGGGATAACTTGTGCATTTCTTTTTGTGTTTTTTTTTTTTTTTGGGAAGAAGTACATTCTGAAAATGTTACATTTTTCCTTCAAAAATTCTTTTAATCAGATAAAACACTTTTAGACAATTATTCAAAAAGGACCACACGTAACATTTTAGTTTTAAAGCAGCTTAGAGCTTTTTCAAAGCGTTGTCAAATGAGTCCCTAATAATCATTTATTAGGGTCCGCATTACAAGTCTTTTGAAAAGTCAAAACTCGTTTTTAGAACTAAGAAGCTACTTTTGAACTTAATTGAATACTTTTTTGAAACTAGATCTAGTTTAAAGAGTTTTGAAAGAAAAATAGTCCAAGGCACTCACTTAAAGGGAAGAAGCATAAGCACTACTAATATACTAGAGCTAAACGGAATTTGGTAAAAAAAAAAAGGTTTAGCTTTAAAAGTGGATATTAAGCCAGTGTTTGACTCAAATTTATAAATTATTTATAAACAATCAAACAATTTTTTATCCACATATCTCTATAAACTCACAAATATTTCACTTATTCACTATTTAATTCTATTAATTTTTAATTTGAAGCATTTAAAAATATTTTTAACATATGTCATTGATATGGTATCAGAGCTAAAAGATTTAAACAAGCAATCTATCTAAAACTGAAATGAATAGTTTGATGGACTGTGCTATTTGTACACTGATTTTTTACACTTTGGTTGGCACTTGCATTGTTGTCAAGTATCAATTGAATGAAAAAATTGTTTGAAATTT